TGCTGACCTTCTGTCTCTGACAACATTTTAGGGTTGATTTTGAAAATTGTTTTGAACCTCAGCTATTTCAATTACCTTTTTCTGTTTAACAAGTTTTCCCAAAACTTAACTGCTAGAACAACAATAATTTATTTTGTCTCATAATTCTGTAGGTTGACTGAGCTCATGTAGGCAATTTATCTACTCTCTCTGGTAAAGGCTAGTTCAACTAGTTGTTGCATTCACCTAGAGCTCAGCTAAGGTGACTGGATATTCCTCCATGGCCCATAGGGTATCTCTCTCTGATGTCCTATTTCACTCTCTGACTTTCTCCACATGGCCTCTCTCTGATAGAGTAGTCTGAACTTCCACTGAGAATTGCAGCTGTGTTCCAAGACAGAGCCTTCTAGGAAAACCAGCCCTAACATTCAAACACTGATCAGATAAGCATGTGGTCAGTTCCAGACTCAGTGCAGGAGAAGACCACAGAGAGCAGGAACCCAAGACCACAGGTCTCTTAGCCCTCACGTACCATCATTGTTCCACTTCTCTCTGCGAGTGCTAATCTGTAATAGTACGGGTGTAGTAGTAAGGATCCTTTTACTTAGTAGTAAATAAAACTCAACTCAATCAAAGCAAAGCAAAAACAAAATACATTGACTCATGTAATTATAAATTCAAATCAAAATACACTGACTCATGTAACTACAAATTCAGGCAGTGTTAGATCTGGACACACAATACTGCTTTTAGGGTTCTCTCTCCCTCTCATTTCTACTTCATTCTGTAGTAACACTTTCTTCTGAAAGGCAAGTGCCATGTAATTCAAAAAAAAAAAAATCACCCATTATCCATGTTTAAATGGTCTTCATAGTCCACAATCTTAGAAGGAAAGATTCCTCTTTTAACTTAAAATTTCCAAAAAGGAACTTTGTTCCCACCATTTCCAGGCAGATAAGTTTCCTACTGCATTTTTAAGATATTGAAACAACAATCCTAAAATGTGTACAGAACTGTAAGAGATCCTGAGTAGTCGAAAGTAATTTTGAGGTCCTCCATGGTGGAGCAGCGGGTTAAAGTACAGCACTAAGAAGCTTAAGCCACTTCCGCATGAGTTCGATCCCCGCCTGCCCCCGAGGTGACCACATGGCGTGGCAGACCTCTCCTGACCTGCCCGCTGCTCCCCTGATCAGTGTACTTTTGTGATCTGCCTGTTCTGCTCCCCACTCTGTCTCTGGTGAATCTTCTCACCCTCCGCATCTCTGGCCCAGTTCTGTATGAATAAATAAAAAAAATATTAAAAAAAAAAAGTAATTTTGAGAAAAAAGAAAAAACAAAGATAAAGCAAGCACAATGTGGCATTCACCTAAAAACAATCACAGAGAACAATTAAAACACAGATATAAACCCACAAATATACAAATCAACTAATTTGTAACAAAAGAGAGGAGAAAATACAATAAGGAAAAGGCCTCTTCCAGAAATGGTGTTGGGGAAACTGGACAGTCACATGGAAAAGAATAAAACTAAACAACTATTTCATACCATGCACTAAAAGTTAACTCAAAAATGAATTAAAAACATGAATATAAGGTCTGAAATTATAAACTTGCTAGAAGAAAACAGATGGTAAGCTTTTGACATCATCAGTCTTAAAGGTGATGTTTTTCTGGGTTTGACCCCAAAATCAAGGGCACCAGAAATAAAAAATAAAACTAAGCTGCTCACAGTGCAAAAACCATCAACCAAATGAAAGGGCAATCAACTGAGAGAGAGAAGGTATTACCAGTTGTACAGGCAATCTAGAGTTAAGATCTAAGGGCCTCCCTGGTGGCCCAGGGATTAGTCTTGGGCTATCACCATCATCCCAGAGCTCGATCCCCAGCCAGGGAGCTGACACACATGGCGCAGCAGACCTCTCCTGTCTCACTCAATGCTCCCCTCAGCAGTGTATTTCCGTAGATCTGCCTGTTCTGATCCCCAGCCTGTCTCTGGTGAATCCTCTCACCCCTGCACCTCTATCTGTACCCCAGTTCTTGCATGCATGAATAAACCAATCCTTTTAAAAAATTCATTTTTTCTAACAGACATACTCACTATAAAAGGTGATGAACTTACTAAGAATTCTGTGAAAATACTTCTAACAGGACAAAGTACAAGACAGACATCTAGACAAAGACAGCATTCTTAACCTAAATACTGCACCAGCTAACCATTTCTCTAAGAACCTCTTAAGAGAGTTGGTATGGAGAGTACCTTTTAAAAAAAAGGTGTGTGGCCCTCCCTGGTGGCACAACAGATTAGGACTCGGCACTGCCAGCGAGCCACAGTCACTTCACTACCATCCCCAGCCCTGGAGGTGACCCACATGGCGCAGCAGACCTCCCCTGTTTCGCCCGCTGCTCCCCTCAGCAGCGTACTTCATCGATCTGCCTGTTCTGCTCCCCACTCTGCCTCTGGTGAATCCTCTCACACTTCACACCTCTGGACTTTCCCCCAGTTCTGTGTGCATAAATAAATAAATCTAAACATAAAAATAAAAAAGGTGTGTATTGGTCAGCTCAAGGTATTGATATAAATGAGATATCTCCAAGAGAGAATGAAAAGGATGTCTCCTCTTCCCAGGTGAAGGTGTGTTCTCTCTACAGAGTGAAAAAACAGGCAGAGTAATTACAGGTAGAATAAGGACTATAAGCTCCAGATTACTCTCAGGAAACATTTCTGAGTCTAAATGCACTTTTTAATTAGCTCTTCCAATAGCATCATGCTAATTGGTTAATTTGGAAATGATATGAGACCCTGTATGCTTTAAAGAAAATCTGTTTGTTGATATATTTATTTGCACCTGAGACTGTCTTATTGCTAGCAGGACAGATATTATTAAAACAGAATCACCTGCTTATTTTAACCAGGTTTTTTTAATGAACACACATGAATTAGATTATCCCTAGTGTTTCAGGAGGAAGTATTAGCATTTTGAGTGATGGGAAATTGCCACTTAGCTGGGAAATAAATGAGCTTTAAATAGATCCCATTATTTTTTACAAGGTTATTATTGTAAATGTTTCATAATTGAAGAAATGCCCTTCAAGTCTATCCTCATTGTTGGTTTATGATGAGGGTGTTAACCTGTAACTAGCCCAGCTCTTCAACATCAAGCCACAGTGAGTTTTCATAAGAGGTTATTACACAAAATAAAATTACCTTTTATCGGTCTACATCATATTTCCAACAAGTTTCTCAGTTTGTTAGCTATGCTGTGAAGAAAATGTATTAAATTTACTTGCCTGGACTAGGAAATAGTGCTTTTTAAAGTTTTTTATGGATTTAGTATGTTTTGCTATTCAGGCAATCCTAAATACACTAGAGACAATTTGGATGAGACTATGTTATATACTTGGATATTTCTATATATCACACTTTAATATTTCAAGTTGCTTTACTTATTTCACTGAGATGACAACCATTCAACAAACTCCCTATTCTAAAATGTAGGCGGGAAAAGCACAGAGACCAAGGTGTTGGTGCACAGGTGAACTGGTTGTAGGAATTCTATAGGGACTACACCTGATGGAAAACATATACAAATAAAGAAATTAAATATAAATAAAATAAAATGTTTCTTTCCGGCCCTCCCTGGTGACGCAGCGAGTTAAAGCGCAGCACTGAGAAGCTAAAGCCACTTCCGCATGAATTCGATTCCCACCTGCCCCGGAGGTGACCACATGGCGAGGCAGACCTCTCCTGTCCCAACCGCTGCTCCCCTCAGCAGTGTACTTCGTCGATCTGCCGGTTCTGCTCCCCACTCTGTCTCTGGTGAAGCCTCTCGCTGCCCCTGAGCCTCTGGCCTATACCCCAGTTCTGTATGCACAAATAAATAAATCTTTTTTTTTTAAATGTTTCTTTCCAGCCTAATGACTGCCACAAAATAATAAAGAAAGAAACTGTTTAGATCATCCTGGATTTAGGAAAACACAATGGTAAACAATCTCCCCACTCCAGTTTCACGTTCTCCTTTTTATAGACGTATTGCTGAGCTGGATGAGTGAAGCTGCTTTGCAGTTAACACCTCTAAGTTTGGAAATGCTAGGGTGCCCCCTACCGCCACAAATGAGGAAAGCGCCGAGTCTCTGCCCGGCCATTCAAAGATCAAAATCTTCCAGGAAGGACGCTGAACTAATGCTCAGGGCCGCCGGTGGGAGGAACGACAGAGGCAGATAATAAACTACTTTAGCTCAAATTTTTACAAAATGGAGCTACTTTAATATAAACCTGGTCTAGAGAGCTATTCATTAGAGGCAGGGCAAGGGTTTAAATATTGCATGACCAAGGTATATGCATATGTGCAGCTTTCTAAAACGACAGCGCCTATCTGCCGTCATTATTTCAGAGGGATATGTAACCGGGTGAAATCAACATTTTCCCCCACTTCTCCCCTCCCCTCAGTACTTAAGGTCTTTGCTATGGTTGTGGTGCCATATACCCACTAAACTGTGAGCCATTTTCACAGGGTAACTGCTAATGATTTGGGGGTGGCTTATTTCCTAAATGTGCTTGTATATTCTGTTACATCTTTGATCTTCTAAAATTGAGGCTCATCAGAGACTTGGAGTTAAGTCAATATGACTTCAGGAACGAGGAGGAAACTTGATTCTCTCATGGGAGGTAGTCCAAAATGCAGAAAAAAGTGTGTGCACACAGGCACACAGACACACACACACACATCAGTTTTCAGAGCTTCTTGACACCAAACAGAAGCATAAACGGCAGAAATAACTTCTGGGCGTTTTAAATTACTGTGCATTAGAAATTGATTTCAGGGCTCTCCCTGGTGATTCGGCCGGTTGGACCACGTTGAGGTTGAATATATGTTATTTAGGCCCATTTTACAGTCTCCCAGTGACAGGGTCCGTACTGATCTCCTACACTTTTTGCCTAAGGGCAAAAAAAAAGGAGGGGCCAGCTTCGTTTGAAACAGCAAAGGAACTTTCTTAGAAGAGACTTACTTAGGAGCAGATGTCTCACCAGTCCCGAAGCTTATCCACAGGCTTTGGGGGCGGGTCGCTCACCCGTTCAGCCCACTGCACATGGCTTCCTGCGCGGGAATCGAAGTTCTGAGGACCGGAAAGTGGGGAGGAGTCTAGCGTTGCCCGGATGCGCTGCAGGGTCAACCCAGGTCATGTCCTCTCGGTGACTTCCAGCAACTACCCATCCCCATCTCTACCAGAGCCATGAGGCTCATGCAGCCTTACCCAGCAGGCCTGCAGCCAGCAAGCGCCTTCACTAAGCTTGGGGGTGGCCACTTGGCAACACTAGAAACAGAGATCACGAAAATATACGGAAACAGCGCTGAAATACACGGAAACAGGCTAGAGAAACACAGGTGAACATCGTGAATCCCAAAATCAGTCCATTTTTCCATCAAGAGCCCCTGTGATCCAAGCCGCTCATTTAGTAAGTCTCTTAGCTGGGGAGTAAGATCATTGAAAGGGTTCGCTTGTGTTGTCTTAAAGATGATACATTAGCAGGCTCATTAGTTATGAATATAGGGAATTCTGTGTTGATCATGGCATAGATGCCTCCTTGAAAGGCAGTAGCAATGTCCAAGGCCATTCTGTTTGGGAGGACGGTTTTTCTTATTAAGGAGAATTCAGTGTTCTGTAAGGACAGACCTTGTTGACAGTTTAAGGCTTACAGACAAATTTCCTGAAGAAAGACTGCAATCAGTCACACCAGTGGAAAGCAGACCCTGTTCAGCTGCCTGGAAAAGGTAGTCGCGGGCTCTCCCTGGTGGCGCAACGGGTTAGAGCACAGCACAGCAAGCTAGCTGTAGCCGCTTCAGTGAGTTTGATCCCAGTCCTGGAGGTGACCCACATGGCAGGCAGACCTCTCCTGATCGCCCGCTGGGCCCCTCAGCAGTGTACTTCCTCGATCTGCCTGTTCTGCCCCCCACTCTGTCTCTGGTGAATCCTCTCACCGCCACTGCACTGCTGGCCTGTACCCAGTTCTGTATGCACAAATAAATAAATCTTTTTAAAAAGAAAGAAAAGGTGGGACTGAGAAGGAAATGCCAGGCCAGGATCCCCACTTGAAACTTGCCTCTTGGGGTGTTGGGTGTTCTCTTTCAAGGACAATGTTGCAAAATGTCCGACTTGCAGCAGGACAAGAGGATGGTATGGAGATTAGGTGGCTCCTTTCATCACGGGGTGCAAAGGACCCATTCTGATGGATGCCCCATTGCAAATTCCTAAGTCCATCTCACCTTTCACTAGCAAGATGGGACTTGATGTTCTCAGCAGCATAAGGCGATGCTCCATAGTGACCAGAGCAGTAAATCTGCAACCACTTCCAAGCAAGTGTTGCGTGTGTCTGCAGTAGTGTCCAGTCTGGCATATTGGGCAGAGGGCAAACCCCGTGGGAGAGACACAAGAAGAGACATGTGGAAGCACTTGGAAGCGATCCATGGAGAATGAGACCATGGCAGCCTTTCCCTTGATTTGTACTTCGAATATATTCCTTTAGTCCCAAACTTGCTTCCCTTCCCTTCTGGCAGCTTTAGGGCCTCAGCAGCCCAGCCTCAGGCCAACCCAGTTTGACTGGGCATTTACCCATGAGCGGATGGGTAACTTTGGTTGTTTTGTTGGCAAACTATTCTCCTTTCTTCTCTTTTCTCTCTATACACATTAATTCTATTAGAGAGCTTTCACACTAAGAGTATGCTCTGTCTGTATGCAATGGATGGTGCAGCACAATTTGCTTCTAATAATGCTCTAAAACTACATCTAGGGGTAGTGTTACAGGCCCCAGCCCAAAATAGTCCTTTGCCTACAAGGGAAAGAATTCACCAGAAAGTACAAGATGTAGGTGAACCAAGCCAGGCTTTATTAGAGAGAATCGTAAGTGAGGAGGCAAGTAAAGGAAAGGAGAATTTAACCTGGCTCCCTTTCAATCCATAAGGTGGTGAGGACAGTGTCTTAAGCTGGCCGGGTCAGGCTACACAGGCTGCTGTGTGGTCAGTATGCTGGGCCAAACCACTTGGACTCACCTGTCCATGATTCAGTCTACCTGTTCAGACAGGACTTGAGGCAACTCATCCTACTGGCTCTCAAATTCTTTTACCTTAGCTTTCTCAGTGAGTCAGCCATGATCACTTCAGATATGTCAGTGAAAACATGCTTATCTGGACACGGAAAGATCTTAAAAGTTAGTTGCAATTACATCATTGTTGGAACTTAAGGTTTTGCTCTTTGAATTCTGCTGCTTGTGATTATGTTTGTTTTCCTCAGAAGCTGAGTAAAAGCCCATTAAATTTGTACCATGATGATGACTAAAGAGAAACATGACAAAATGTTGAGGGCGTCGCATTCACAAACCTGGCACCACAGACCAGGCTTTGAATTTCAGACAAACAACTAAAATGTGGAAATTCTGAGGCAGACTGAATGTTACGAACTTCTAAAGTCATTCTGAATCCTGCTTTTCATGAGGTGAAGGGCACATGTCCAGTGATTCTCAAGTTTGTTAGCACTTTATAGAAAACCATGAAATAAAATTTAAAATCCAAAAGCTAATTTATTAGCAACACAATACAGACATACAAGTCCTAGCACAGTGACTGCTGGATTTTAACATAATAAACCCAGAAAGATCGATCATTTTAAATGAACAAAAAGCAACTTTTTGTTGAAATGAAAGAACTCCAAAAATATCACATGGTTGGTTTACATTTAATCCTCTCTGCATGTTGTAGCTCATCTAGAACATTTCTGATAGTCTCGACACAAACTTCTCCTCTATAATGTTTTTTTGATGCAAGATTCCATACTTTTTCAAATTCTTCATCAGAAAGCTTGACACCAATGTTACATAATATCTCTGCAATCTAGAAAAAAAATTGACAGTCAGATTAAGATTTATATGCTTTTACATCTGAATCTTAGGAAAGTCTTTAAAACATCAGACTATGGATATATATCCCCCAAAAAAGTTACATATAATGTGCAAATACCAAGATTCTAGTAGTTTCGGTTCATGAACAATTTTATTTTATAAGAGTATTTAAAGTAGCCAATATATAAAATGACTTGCAACTCTACATGTTTCTGATGATTGTAAAGAGAGGTAGCAAAATTCAAGTAGGAAAAATAAGAGTTAAAGATCAAAGACTTGCATGGTGATAGCACATAGGTGAATTGGTGGTGGAAAGTCCATGGGGATTATAACTGAGATGAAAAAAATGAAGAATGGTGAAATATACATATATATATACACACACACACAAACACCCCCACACACGTATATATATAAAATTTTTGAAAATCAAAGCCTTGCTTAATTGGAGTTCCACCCCAGTCACTTCTTGTCACAATGACCTTATGTATGTCATTTAAAAGCCTTGAGTATAAGTTTCTCTTCTTTCAAATAGAAGCATTGCTAAAATGCACTGAACTGGCCTGTTACAAATTTTAACTATAGTTGTAGATGTGCAGTGAGTTAATGCATGAGCAAGTAGGCAGCCTAAAAACTGAGGCTCTGGAAAACCAGTAAGTTTGCTGATTAACAACTTCTCTGCAGCAAAATTAAACACAGTCTGGGAGAAGCACTTCGCAGACCACCTGGGAGAATCTGGAATCCTTCTTTGAGACTGACCAGCAGGCAGCCTTCTTTGAGTTTCTCTCACACTTCCCCCCTATCTCAGCCAGAATAAACGTTTGGAATAAATCTGTTATTAATATTGTCAATATGTGGTATGTTTTTAAGCCATAAGCCCTTACTCAGAAGTCCCAGGAAATATCCCATGTCTACCCACAGCACATCTGAGTCCAGGTGGGCAGGTATTGAAGCAGCAGCTGCCCCTAAATCTCACCTTCTCTGCCCTGCACATCACCTGCTCAGCCCTACACCTCACCTGCTCTGCCCTACACCTCACCTGCTCTGCCCTGCACCTCACCTGCTCTGTCCCTACATCTCACCTGCTCTGCCCTGCACCTCACCTGCTCTGTCCCTACACCTCACCTGCTCTGCCCTGCATCTTACCTGCTCTGTCCCTACACCTCACCTGCTCTGTCCCTACATCTCACCTGCTCTGTCCCTATACCTCACCTGCTCTGCATGAGTACAGTTCTCTACCTGCTGGTAGGATCACGCACCACTTTTCATTCTTGGCTCTCAAACCTCAGTGGCTATTTTGACTGTGCCAGTTATTCCTATTTTATTACCCACCTACTAAATAAATCACCTATAATAGTAAGATCATGTTTGCTAAGTCAAAATTTAAAAGTACATGGACTGACATATGATGTGGTGACAGACCAGGACACTTTAATTGCATGTTGTAGATGTAAATGTTGTAGATCATGGTAGCAGTGAGGAGGAGGATGGGAGAGTGACTCTTTGGCTCTGAAAACCCAAATCCTAAAGATACTTACACAAGAAAGGGATTAGTAATTTTCCTTTTTCTAAACTACCAGTACTGAGTGTCTTGAAAAAATATCTTTCTTGTTATGCATGGGGCATAATGAATATACAATGTGCAAGCAATGCTTCCTATCATAAACTCTATTTCAAAAATGGTACCTGGACATCACAACCAAAGTGAACATTATGCTCAAGAATTCTGTCTCTGCGAGTGCCAATGGCTTTTGTAATATAAAAACACAAGTTTTCAAACAGCTCAGAGTAGTTCTTGACAAATAAACATTCCTATCTTTGGGTGTTTATTTGAAGTTGGCATTTCCTTCATCCTTTTTGAAATAACAGGCTGTACCTCTTTTTTTGATCGGGCCTTGAAGAAATCTCTTTCAAACACTCCTTTCTGAGCAAAGATGGAGGGATGCAGTAAGGAATAGGCATTTCCTTCTTCACCATAATTAGTTCTATCGCTGATGCGACGAATTCGGGGGACAGGAATATCACACCGGATGGTGGGGACACCATAGACAGGATAAGCTAGAATATCAATGAGCAAGGAAAAGAGACATTGTAAAACTGAGCTGTGTAACAGAAGCCACCAACCACGTGTGGATAGTGAGCACTTACGTGTGATTAGTTTCAGGTGAGATGTGTTGTGAGCGTAAAATAAAGCTGAGTTGCAAAGATTCAGTATTAAAACCAAAATATTTATTTTTATATTAATTACTATTGAAATAAGATTTCAAAGAGCTATGTACTTATGCTACTAAAATTAATTTCACTTGTTTTCCTCTTAAAAATGGCTAATAAAGGCTCTCCCTGGTGGTGCAGTGGGTTAAAGCATAACACGGAGGGGCTAAAGCCACTTCAGCATGAGTTCGAAACCCACTTGCCCCGGAGGTGACCCCATGGCGCGGCAGACCTCTCCTGACCCGCCCGCTGCTCCCCTCAGCAGTGTACTTCGTCAGTTGGCCTGTTCTGCTCCCCACTCGGTCTCTGGTGAATCCTCTCACCTACCACACCTCTGGCCTGTACCCCAGTTCTGTAAGCATAAATAAATAAATCTTTAAAAAAATGGCTAGTAAAAATTTTAAACTATCTGACTCCAATTATGTCTCTGTGGTACAGCACTACTCTGAAGGGAACAGCAACACTAAAGATTGCACGAAAATGTTTAGCACGACTATAAAATCCAATTAAGAAAACATATAAATACTTGATCACGTCCGTGGTCCGAGGAAGTAATCTTGAGCAACATAAAATAATCTTTCTAAAGAATCAAAATTCACCATGCTCAACCTGGAGATATGGGTTGAGTTGTATGCTCCCCAGATTCATACATTCAAGTCCTTACCCCTCACACCTCAGAATGTGACCTTATTTGGAAATATGTTTTTACAGATATAATTAGTTAAGAGAATACTGTGGTGGGTTGGCCCAAGATGACTGAAGTCCTTATATAAGGGGACATTTGGCCAGAGACACCTACACAGGAGAACACTGTGAAGAAGGAGGCAGAGGTCCTTGGGGTACAGCAGACATCAAGTAGCACCAGATTTCCAGCAAACCCCCAGAAACTAAAAGGACCTGAATAGATTTCCTCTCAAACCCTCAGAAGAAACCAACACTGTCAATACCTTGATCTCAGACTTTTTTTTTAATAAAGTCAATGAAAGTTTTATGTATATATTTTTAAAGATTTATATTTATTTGTGCATACAGAACTGGGGTACAGGCCAGAGGCTCAGGGGCGGTGAGAGGCTTCACCAGGGACAGAGTGGAGAGCAGAACAGGCAGATCGACGAAGTGCACTGCTGAGGGGAGCAGCGGGTGGGTCAGGAGAGGTCTGCCACGCCATGTGGTCACCTCCCGGGCAGGCGGGAATCGAACTCATGCGGAAGCAGCTTTAGATTCTCAGTGCTGTGCTTTAACCCGCTGCGCCACCAGGGAGGGCCTGATCTCAGGCTTTTAACATCCAAGGTCATGAAATGGTAAGTTTCTGTTATATAAAGTCACCCAATTTGTGATTGGTGTTAAGGCAGCCCTGGCATATGAATAGAGGGGGAGTGAAGACGCGTAGAATAGAAGTGCTCTTCAGATAAAGGCAGTTACATATGGCGTCAAGAACAACTCACAAGTCCACTAACACTTCCTGAAGTCCAAATTACTACCATGTCTGACATGTCTTCTCAAGATCAGTTTCAACATCAGTAACAACAGACAGAATCATTTGATCTGGATCATCACTGGTAGTTCAGTCCACTCTATATTTATCGAGACTAGGGGATACATAGATTACAGCATTGAATGAAAGTCCTAGGCTTTGCAAAACTTATAGTCTACAGAAGACAGACATTGGGGAAAATAGGAGTGTTGACAAAAGACTTTTTGTAACTATGTTTGCTGATCCTTTTGAAACTAGATGATGTCACATACTCACCCGTAGAAGGTACACCTCCTACAACCGCACTGATCTCCGAAGAAGTTGTCTTATAATGACTAGAAACGCTGTCACTTGGCCTCAGAAGTGTCCGGAGAGTTGTTTCTGAGCTCCCTGGTTCTTTAATGACAATATCTTCTGGTTTTATCAAGAGCGTTGGCTCACATTTTTCAAATCTCTCCTCAGTAGGTTTTGTACAGTCTATCTGTCTACCTTTAAGCAAAGAGGGAAAGAAAAGGTGGGGGGAAGTACAGGAAGAAGTTACTAATTGGTGTGTTGTGCTCGGCAACAGGTTGTGCTGGGCAACAAAATCACTTTTCCCACCTAATCTCTTTTTGCCTGGAGAAATTGGAACTGGATCCTCCCTGGTGGCGCAGTGGGTTGAAGCTCAGCATTGCAAGCTCTCTGAGCCACTTCAGTGCAAGTTCAATTCCTGGCCCCAGAGGTGACCCATATGGCACGCCAGACCCCTCCTGTCTCCCCAATGCTCCCCTCAGCAATGTGCTTGGTCAGTCTGCCTGTTCTGCTCCAGGCACTGTCTCTGGTGATTCCTCTCACCCCCTCTGGCCTGTACCCCAGTTCTGTATGAATAAATAATTAAATCTTTTTTAAAAATTGGAACCGGATTGGGTTAAACACCCCTCAACTGATGTCAGCACCCCACTGGGGAAGAGCAAGCTCAGGCCAGTGTCATGTGCCAGGAAGTTTGGATGTGGTCTGATGCTTCTTTTTGCCATTTTACGTGTATACCATGGAATGACGCTTTTAAATCTGAAAAACCAAATGAGAGGCTATGTTTTCCTTTCCATTCTTTTAAAAGTAGAGCTCATGCGGAAATTGTTCCTAGAACTAAGCCAGAAAGAGCGATGGGACCTGTACATTCCACACGTAGTTGATTGTGGGGAAGAGACCTAGGTATTGCAACATTTGGAAAGGCAGTAAGAACTCACTGCAAGCTCAGAAACCTAGTATAAAAATAACTCCCTCCAAATCAGTGGATAAAAGACAATCCTGAAGTACAAATTGTAAGACTCTGTCCTCTTTTGCAGCTTTGCTTTGCTGAGGCAAATTCTCAACTCTACAAGTAAATTCCCTAGACATCTTTTTCACAGAGCTGGTAACTTCGCAGCTAGCACTAGAGGGCGCTGTGGTCTTCCAAGCTCCAGAAAAAAATGCTTACGATTTGGGGGAAGCCGGAGCAAAGGTTTCAAAGTCAAAATGGTGCCCGGGTATCTGCAAGGGCCGTGGGGCAAGCCAGGAAAGATAAGCGTCTCTATGTCTGCACCCCCTTTCAGTTCATGCCAATCATTGTAAAAGCTTTGAGGTCCACTGTTCCCGGTTCTCTAGGGTCCTCACCACCTCTCCTCAGACACTGGCCCCCACCCCTTCACCAAAAGCAGAAATCTAGACAAAGTCTGAAAAACAGTTCCTCAGAAAACTACGCAAAAACCGCGATCTTAGAGTAGTGGCCTTCCTTCATAGGTCGACAGTAAGAGCGAATGGGATGTAAGAAAATGCCTGACAAAGCATTTCTCTATTCCTTCTGATCACTGGACATGAAACAAGTCAAGAACTTCATTGCTGACAACAGGTGCCTAAAAACTAGGAACGCTTTGTAAAAGTATCTCCTATGAAAACAGGTTTCCGCTTTCCTCCAATACCTCATTAGAGAGGATTAGGTGAGAGTAGTTATTTTCTATTTAAAAAAAAAAAAAAACTCCATTAGACAAAGGAGAGTCTCCTACTTTCCTGGTGCATACAATGGAAAGGCAATCCCAATAATTCTCTGACACTGATATTATTATGGTAGGACCCATTTAAGGGCTTCAAGATGCCCCTCAGTCTGCCTACTAATACAATGAACAAACACAGTCATTTTACTGAAACAGTTTTACAGAATTGCAAAATGTCTGAACTTTAATCAATTTTGCAAACAATAATAGTTTCCTAGAGCATCAGGAAAGGTATGCTTGCTAGAAAATGCTCTTGCTGGCATGTCTTTAACAGCTCAAGTCATTGTCATTCACTTCGTTTCCAATTTTTGGATAATTCTCCTTTGATATCCTAATTTTTTTAATTGATGTAATTATGCTTAATTCTAAGATTTGGGGGGAGGTCTCCATGGTCCTACTTTGGGCCAATCCTGTTTTGCTGGACATTTATCCACATGGGGATGGATGGTTAACTTTGGACCTTTTATTGGGAAACTATATCCTCTCTCTATTGCGCACTGATCTATTGAAGTTGTTTTCTGTGGGGGGAGGGGAGTAGAATGGGGAGATTGACATCAACAAAGCCCACAGTTTGGTTTGGGGAATAGGGATAGAAAGATCTTTCTTTCACAAAAAGACAACCCAGGAATAAAGTGAAAATAGTACTATCTTTACTTTTTAGAAGAGATCATCTAAAAGGAATTTTTTTAAGTATATATGCTTTTAAAAAGGTTAATCTTCCACGGGATTATGGTGATGGCACACGGGTGACTTGGTGATGGGAAACCCGCAGGGATTACAACTGAGATGGGGGGAAAAATGTACAAAATGATGTAAAAATAAACTGTTATAAAAGAAATTAAAAAAATAAAATTTTAAAAAGGTTAATCTTCTCTAATAATCAAGATATGAACATTAAAGCAAACAAGGTGTCACTCTGTGCTAACTCAGTACAGAAATGTCAGAAATGATGTGCGATGGTATCAAGTAAATCTTCTCACAACCGTGGCTAATAAAAGTGCAAACTGTACATTCATTTAGAAAAGCAAAATGAAAATGTACAGACAAAGAATTTCTGGAACAGTAACTTTCATAAGAAATAAGATAAAATTAAAAACTTTCTGAGAGATAATAATTGTTATAACCCATATTCGTTTTAAAATATCTGGAAACAACCTAAATGTCAAAGCAAGGAAATGGTTTAGTAATTCATAATACATCAAAATGAAGGAAATGAAAATTAGACTTACAGAAATCAAAAGTATCTCTTCATTAAACAGACATTTGAAAGCCAAAGAATAAAATGTCAAATGATTCATTCACTGCGATTTTAGCTGGATTTAACATATACAGATACATTTCTTTCTCTCTCTCTCTCTCTCTATATATATATATATGTATGTTATGTTTATGTTATATTAATGACACAGTAAGTTAACATGAAAATACTTGAGTCAACATAAGTTATCATTTTTCCTTTTCTAACAAAATTAAACGATCAGATTTTCCTTTTGTCAAATTTAATTTTATTATTGATTTTCCTGGGGGAGAGAAGCTAATTATAGTAAGACAGTGGTTTAAAAACAACTTTCCAAGGAACTGTCTTTTACATTTGGGGTTTCAATGTAATTTTTTTTTCACATTTCACTTTTGAATGATGAATACCTGGTTCCAAATTCAAATGATGCAGAAATACGAGTTAAAAAAAAAAAATGAATTTCCAAGCCTCCCTGGCCCTTAGCTACCCTTCCTAGAAATTATAAACATTATCAAATTCCTTCCTATCTTTCTATAGATACTCTAGGCATAAACAAATAAATAAATGTAAATATGTGCATACTTTGAAATATATAATATTAAAATTTGCAAATGTTGAGCTCCCAGAAAAATGAAAATATGAAAGTCCATTTAAAAATTCAGCAACCTTAAAAATTAAATACCTTTAACAATGACCCTTTTTTCAAATTCCTTAGGAGGCATTTTATCTTTCCAGTTCAGAAAATTTGCAAATTCTAGGTAGTTAATCAATCCATCATTATCCACATCACAGTACTCAAATAGCTGGTCCAGGAGTTTCTCATCTAAATGCAGGCTGACCTGTTCACAAGCTTCCCGGAGCTCATCTTTATCTATCACCCCATCTCCTTTCTGCTGGACACAAAGCAAAAGAGAAAGAAAAAGTGAGCACTCTTCAAAAGGAGAGTTATGCAACATCTGTTACTTAGTTTAAGAAGAGAGAGTTCTGTCATATAAATTCAAAGAATTTTCACATAAGAAGAGTTCACTGCTAAGAGAACTCCTTTGTGTCAACCTGATATTTCCACAGTAATTTCAACCTGGTAGAAGCAGGGTGTGACTTTGAATCTTTAGATTCAAAATCTTGCCTTTTTTCATTTTAATAAGTTTTGTCTTTAAATCATGTGTTTACACTGTGAAATAGCAGTTCTAACCACGATTCGTGCTTCATATTTCATTTGACCAATGTGTGTACTTTCCATAGCTCACTGCCATTTTCCACACTTTCAAAGTTTTCCACACCTCGGAGAAACTGGCGAGATATTGGCAGGTCACCTACAGGAAAGTGTATTTAAAACGGTTGCCTGGTAATCAAAGAAGATAAACTCATGTCATCTGCAGCAACATGGATGGAGCTGGAAGGAATCTTGCTTAGGGAAATAAGCCAGAAAGAAAAAGAAAAATATAGGATGGTTTCACTCATCGCAGGAATGTAGGGGATCAGGAGGGGGGAAAAAAAGCAATTGTAATAAAGTTAAAACAAAAGTCAATCAACAACTATAAACCAGAGACACTCTACCGGGGAAGAGAGGGGAATAGGTTCAAAACTGAGGCAGCAAGAGTACAAGGGACTATAGTAATGGCACAGGGGTGAATTGGTGGTGGGAAGTCCATAGGGATTACAACTGAGATAAAAAAAAATGTGCAAAGTGAAGAACAATGTAAATATATATGTATATATAAAACTATACATATATATTGTATGTATATATATAACTATATATACTATATGTATATATAAAACTATACATATATATCTGTATTAAAATAAATAAATGAAGCAGTTGCCTGGTTTTTGCTAACACCCCTCCAGGCAAGAGGGAGATGCCACTGACCTGGCAACCAGCCTCCATTGTGACAGTTAGCAGTAAGCTTCATCCTGGTAACTGCAAAGTTTGGGGGGAAGGGGAGTGGGTTATAGAAGATGAGGAAAGGAGCATGCACACACAATGTGGAGTGAGGGAAATTTATGAAGGCTCCAGGCAGAAGCAGGCTGGTTCACCAGGGAGGTGAGGGGAGAACATATCATGCTTGTTAAGGAGGATGGCAGGAACTGGCACATCTTACCATTCAGCCCCGTCCTGCACTTTAGCAAATCAACCTTAAATCCATGGGGCAAAGATAGTAAAAGGCCCTTTCAGAGTTTGCTCGATCAACAAACTCCCCAGGGAAACCATAAATGTCTCAGGACTAGTATGGAGTTCTTCTGCCTCCCAGAATTGAATTTGCAATGCTGATGAAGGTGATCCCCTGGAGAACGAACTTGCCCAATGAATTCTGGGAAAAAAACCTGTGATCACCTGAAGCCCTGGAAAATGTCTCTAAGTCTTATGTTGGAATAGAAAATAAATTTAAAACATAGCCTAACAATAGGGTGACAATCCCTGGAGGAAAGTGGGTTCTTTATAAAAGTCTCTGCTGTGAGATCAATCAACAACAACAAAAAAAAAATGCAAATACCACAGACCCAGCTTAAAAGCAATGTGGAGTGTGGCCTTTGAATAAGAGGTACCAAAACTGAAATAGATAATGACAGCAACAATGACTTTGCTGCCTAATATAGGGTGTTGTGTGGACTGAGACCATTAGCGGCTTGTTTCCAGTCAGCTGCAAGCAATCACAACACTTAGCAGGTGCAGCCACTCTGACCCTCTGCACCCTTGACCTCTCCCTCCCACATGCCTCTATCTCTGTTGCTTTAAGGAGAAAGAAGTCTAGATGTACAACTGAGGTCACCCTATCCCCAAGGATAACCAAAAGTCATATGCATCTGTCCATGTATGTTCTGGAACTACAGGAGCTGGAGACTCAAGCTTTTATGTCTTTGTTAGATATGGATGCCAAAGTCATCATCCTACTCAGTCCCAAGAGGTGAGGGGAGGAATGTCTAGGCTTTGGGCAGGATTTGCTTAAAGTGAAGAAGGAAAGCTAATAATAATTAGTCTGTGGCCAGCACTACAGAATGCATAGGTATTATTAATGCTTTACATGTCTGTGTTGTGAGCATCCGTAACTGCCAGAGGCCACAGGTAGAGAATTGCTAGTATCACACCATCCATAATTCCTTGGAGCTTCAAGTCTGTGGCACATGGTTTTGACACTGAAAACATCTACAAAAAAGCAGCAACTTCCACTGGACTGTGTCTTGAAGTTTAGGGCTCACTGCCTCCCTAACTTGGTTACCAGTTTCCATTTGCTCATTACCGAGCTCTTGTTGAAACTGAACACTTGACACATCAGTCTTGTGACTCTCCATGTGATCACTATTTTGAGATCAGCCAATTTGGACTCATGAAGTAACCAGGTGTAAAGGGCTCAACAAGCTCATTTGTGAAGATGTGAAATCAGCCAGCATGACCCCAGTACCATCTCAGCTTGCATGAAAAAAAGAATACAATCCTGTTGGGGAAACATCATCTTTTTATTCACTTTGCCATCTGAAGAAAAGCCAGTGGCCCAATAGAACGTCAGTTGACGGGGGCTTTCCTAAGTCCTGAGCCTGGTTCTCTAAAATGAAACCAGTGTGATCTTCACAGGGCTGATGTCTTTCACTGTCAGAGAGAAGTATGAAGAACCAAAAACTGGGTTCTACTTGCTTGCTAGCAGAACTCAAGGTTATTCTTATGACTGGCCAGTGCACCTCTTGATGAAACTGTCATATTTTCGTTGACTCCAGGATTGATGCCAATGGCCGACCTTTTTATTCATCAGTTGAGAAATTAAAGATGTTTCTTTTTAGTCTAAAAGCAAATTTGTAGCTGCTGATTAAATCACCTGGATATTAATATGAACACCCACGACTGGACTCGAACTTCTGAGTGAACCTGACCTTCCAGATCACTGCCACTGTTGCCTGGATGCATCATTGCACCAAATGTGACAACACAGCCACCATTTCAGATGAGGTACAAGGTAAAGCAATGCCACATCTCTGGTGCAAAGGCTACCATCCCATGCCAACCTGGTGACTCCTGCCAAACGCTGGCCTATTTGTTTCAGCGTGAGGACGTACAGCATACACCAGGCATTGCCCCCCTGCTCCTGACAGAGTGACCACGTGAAACCTTTGTCCCTCTCAGACACAATGATGGTGCATCACACTGGTGACACATATTCAACTAATGGAATTGCTGTCCTAGTCAGTCAGCTCCTGTCAAACAGTATGGCCCATGAAATTAATCTGAGTCAAGTGTTTTTGCATTCCCGACAATTCGTAGTCTGACGTTGGTCTGCCTTGTGGCAATAAAAGCTGCTCAACAAGGACCTGTCAGTCAAGGTGGAGCCCTTTCCTGCTTCCAACCCTCATGGTCATCTGGCGTCACTGAGCTTTGGCATGGCCTTCTCAGAAACTGTGTACCTTCCTCATCAACTCCTAGTTCACATATTTTGGTAAAGCAGTGTTGTTACTGAGCCCATGAAGGGTTCATGCCACCACAGTGGTTTCCTTGATAATCATCAGAATGAAAAGACTCAGGATAATTGTATACACCTATTTTAAAAATTTGGGTATTCTACTATGACGATTCTAGAACATGACATGTCTTTTATTTCCCTCCCTCTAGATTTTAATTTCCCCAAGTGGAAAATCTATGTATTACCTAGAATAATGATTGATGTATTGTGAGTATTTAATAAATAACAGTTAAACTTATCATCCAAGAAAATTCATTTAGAAAATAGCAGCTTATTTGTTCTGTTCTGTTTTGATTTTCCATTAAATTAAATCTGGGTATGCAACAGTGTAAGATTCAAATCATCAAAAATTATCCTACAGCTCTAATAGGAAAACCGACATCTTATTACCCTCTTTGAAAAAACCTCCTCAAGGACACTGAGCTCCTCATTGTGCATATTAAAAGTTAACTATTTAAAAGGTATATCAGCATTAAATAATTCTCAGTAATTTCTTCCCTGCTTATTTAATTTTATCATAAGGAATGTGTCTGGTGGTTCACTAAGATAATCAACAGCTATTAAGATAATCATTTTGCCTATAATTACATTTAAAATGAAAATGACTTTTTTAAAGAGCAGAGTGTTACATATTGCAGTAGGTTCTCTTATTTGTATCACTACCAAGTAAATCTCCCTCTATAAAATTTTTGTAGCATATTTGGATTTGGTTAAAGTTTAAAATCTACTTACTTTAAGTGGAATATAGAAAAAACAAACTAAGAACCAGAGAAAGACAACCTTAAAAGCTAACCCTTGAGAACGGACTGTAGAAATGAAGCCCAGCTACAGATCTAAGATGACGCTATTAAGAGACACAAATATTTTCAACTGGGAGGAGAGAAGAGAAAGGGTCAAATGAACCTGTTTTGAATGTCATCTTTTGTTTATCATGAAGACAATAAAATCCTTGAGGTTATATTAAATAATAATAATAAACAGAACCCCCAAAAATGAGGAAATTGGAGCAAAAAAAAAGGATAGGGGGAAAAAGTCAGGTGAAAGCTGGAATAAAAATAGCATATAAAATGCATGCTATAAACTCACACTCACAACTTAGACATGTTCCATTGACCAAGTCAAAAAGTTATGAACAATTGGTACAAATGTCAGGCTGTTTGCAAGGTAAAAACAAGTGAAATATTTAGATGAAAGAAAGTTATCTCTTTCAGAAAAAACTACGTTTCCTTATAAAGAGGATACATGTGACATAAATGAATATTCTCATGGGCATATTAACAATGACTATGTCGTGTTTCATAAGTAGTTTCTTTGATAATGCTCCCTCCTGTAAGCTCAAGGCAGTGCAGTTTAGTATAGCAATTCTGTGATGTCCCAAAATGAGATGATGTAATTATGCAGCCATCACCTGACCTGACTTCATCAAAGGATAAAATTTAGACTAGCTTGAAATGGAAAGATTTTGTTTGTTCAAAACTAAAACCACATCTTGCTCCCCAGAGAGGGACCTTTTAAGCCTGAGTTGGCGCTAGACTGGTGGACCCTGTGTGTAAATTCAGATTCAGGTAGAGATTATATCTGCATTCCAGGGAGCCACACTGCTGGCCTCTCCTCTTGCACTTGGCACACTGCAGTATAATAATCTACAACAGTGGTCCTCAAATTTGAATGGGCATCAAAATCATCCAAAGGGCATATAAAAACACAATTGCTGGGGTTCAGCCCAAAATTGCTAACTAAGACCTTGTAAGCCTGAGTTGGCCCTGCGTGTAAATTCAGATTCAGGTAGCGATTATATCTACAACCCAGGATTGGGTCCTAGGACGTGCGTTGGTATACACTCCCAAGGAATGCTGAAGAACCACAGTTTGGCAACCAGTGACCCCACAGGGGTTGGCATACTTTCTGTCAAGAGTGAAATAGTAAATATTTTAGGTTTTGCAGGTCACTAAGTCTCTATTATACAACCTGTATTTGTAATGCAAAAGCAGCCACAGATGGTACTTCAAATAAATGGGCATGTCAAAATTTGACCCACGGGCAGGGTTTGCTCACCCCTGATCTACACCAACCTGCTGGGCATGTAAGTCCATGCACAGACCAAAAAGTTCTGTTACTACTGGCCTTGTCGTAGTGCCGGAAGGCAGACAGCAAGGTGTCAAAGTTTTGGTAGTTAACTTTCTTAAAGTGATGTCGAACTGCTGAAATCAGGGCTCGCTGTCTATCCTTGCCTCGAAGATATTCACCTGGACATCTATTATGGATGAGATCACCAGCCCCTATTGATGAAAAAAGAAAGTCTCTTATGTGAATTTAAATCTCCCAATAACATTCTCCTCCGAAAAGAGTGAGAGCTCTAGCAACATATAAGAATAGAAAAACCTTACACCTAACTCTGAAAACCACTATGCAGCCTATCAGAAATTTTTGTGGATAAAAATGTACTCGTGTAATTGACAAACATTCATTTTTGTTTTATGTAACTACTCTACTCAATGAACAAGTTTTGAAGAAAAAAAAAATGGATCTTTGTGAAGGAATCATCAGCCTTACTCAGCTATCAAGGCTTTCCCAAGACAGCGCGAATCTCTGGCCTGGCTGCCTCTAAGTAGACATTTATCTGTGCTGCCGAGAGTTTGGAGTGTGGGACTGAATCCATGTCAGGGCCACTCTGTGTGCATTGGAGATAAAACTCTGGAATACTCAAATTCCCTAGCCCCTCTTAATATGAATTTTTGTTCTGCCTTCAGTCTGTATATCATTCAATCCACCATTTCTCTGTCCTGACTCTCCCTATTCACAACACCCGCCCTGACCTCAGCTCCACTAGTCATAAACTCAGTTCTTCAAAAAAAGGTCAACCCTCCAATCTACTGCTACCTCCCTCAAGACCTGGTCCCTGCTTCTACTTGTCCCTCACATTGTAAAGAAACTTCCCTGAATGATGACACACAGAAAATAAACACATCCACACTGCCTAAAACCCCACTCCTTGACATTCTCTTTCGGAAAATATTCCTTGCCTATTGATGGTGACAGCTCAGACTTAGCTTTGGTTATACCTTCTTCTACCCTGGACTGAAAGAATATTTATGAAGCTCGTGTCAAATCATTTGCAATTACTCAAAAGCAGGAGTATAAGCTGTGACTAAAGACTTATGACCTAGTTACCACACCACTGCTATCAGAAAAATTAAGAAGGCACATTAGCTGTACTTTGCCTACAACTGATTTCTGTGATATCACACTGTCCACCAGTCCTGGATTCTCCTTAAGGTTGCCTCTGCCTAGTGCATTCTGGGAGTTGGGCAAGTCTTTATACTCTTCCTGAAGGAATCTTAACACAACCACCAAGCCCTTAGGGAGGAAGCACACTTTTTTGATTTTGTAAGTAATAAAATAGGCCTTATAGAAACCATGTCCCTGGAAGCAGGCAGATGCTGACTTTTCCATGGAATAGATGCTATTAGTGGACCCCCAAGAGAAATTATGAAAGGCTAGAACCTAAAGTTAATCCATATCCATCCCCATGCTCCAGGAAATGTCCAGCAAAGATTTATGAACCCCTTTCACAACTCCATTATGCAACACCAGGAGTGATAGTAATAGTTACCTTTAAAAATATACATTGTTGTATCCTGCCTTTTCATTTTATAAGTGTCTTATCAATTTATTAGGCTAATGTTGATCACCTGAGAAAAAATGTGTTAATGGTATCAACTGTCAAAATGACAAACTATGTGTTAAACTCATGCTATTGGTAGAAAATATCCTTTTTCTACACCTCAGAAGTGCAGCAGGCCAGTCAGAGCACCCACCTCCATCAAGCCTGCCCTCAAATAGGAAGAGATAACCCTGAGTACCAGTTTATATTTCAGGTTGATTGATGGGTTTACAAAATCACCCCTTGGCCCCCTCCCACAGGTGTGAAAAGCCTCTAAAATGCATCCATTAAACACTTAACAGTTCATTAAAAAAAAAAAAGAACCAAATACAACCTCTTAATGTGGCAATGAACTAAGCTCCAAAATGCCATGCTAAATAAGCTCGATCAATATTTGCTTTATTTGTCAGTGAGTAGACCTGAGCTAAAACATTTGCAATCGTGGTTCTTTAACTTTAGTGTACATAAGAAACTACTGAATCAGTATATCTGGGCATGGGTCCCAAGAACCTACATATTTAATAAGCTCCCTGAGTGATTTTAATGCAAGTAGCCGGCAGGCTGCATTTTCAAAGCTATTGACTTATAGACCAATTCTACTAAGTGTTAGCATATTTTTCCCTTTGAATGTCTGATGTTTACATTGCCTAGAAATAAAAACAAAACCTAGTAAGCTGTCCCTTTATGGGTTAGTAAATTTGACGATTGGCTGGTGGGAAGAGTGGCTCTTCGGTATGTGATTATAGAAGGCAGTGTTTTCTCAAACTCGAGTGTTCCTGTGAATCATCTGGAAATACTGTTAAAATTCAGCTTCTAATTTTAGGTCTGAAGTAGAACCTGAGGTGCTGCATTTCTAAAGAGCTTGGAGAAGACTCGGATATTGTCCATCTATGGACCACATCGTGAGTAGCAAAAAGTCTAATATAATATTGAAGTTAATTAAAAAGCTGCTTCCTTCCATTTGACTTTTTCAATACTGGTCATATTTGCTAAATAAGTTTCAGAGCCTCAAGTAGATTGAAAGTATTCATTACGAGGACTTTGAACAGCACCTTCAGCAAATATAATAAGAAAATTTATCTTTTCTTATGCTATAAATTTTTCTCAATAATGTTAATGTAATAGTTAAGGTTTTAAAAATAGAAACTTTCAGACAAGGAGAAGGTGAACTTAATTGCATAACTTTTTGAGGATTTTGGTTTTGCTTTATAAGGAGAAAGTTTGTATCTTTACCATACTCCTCAGGGCGAAGACAAGCACCAAATGTGTGGTCTGGGGGAACCTTCCTTGTTTCTGCAATGCTATCCAAAAAAAAAAAAAAAAAAAATTCATCAGTTAAAATAAAATAAATGGCATCCCTGAAATTTAAAATATTTGCCATATGCTTTTAATGGCCCCTATTTTCTCCTACAACCAAACTGAAGATCCAATAGAAGTTCTCCAATAGATCTTTTTTCTAATATTCCACTTGTACTAACAATGGGCTGAGTGCCTTCACTGGATTTCAGTAGTTCATATTTAAAAAGAAAAAACAGAATATATTCAAGGCAGAATTATGGATATATACATATGGAGAGGCTGAGAAAGACAGGAAAGGGAGAGAAAAACATAACGCAGTTAAGTTTACTTTCTGATAGCCAGAAATAAAGTTTTACCCAGAATTCTCTCTCCCTCTTTTTCAAGTGCTTCTCTATACTTTCCTGGAACCCCAAGCTCTATATAAGCTAATGAAGTTCCCTTCCTACTACAAAGGAATAACTTTCTTGTTTAATAGATTAAAAACTAATAGAGGCCCTCCCTGGTGGCGCAGTGGGTTAAAGCACTGCACTAAGAAACTAAAGCCACTTCTGCATGAGTTCGATTCCCGCCTGCCCCAGAGGTGACCACATGGCGAGGCAGACCTCTCCTGACCCGCCTGCTGCTCCCCTCAGCAGTGTACTTTGTTGATCTGCCTGTTCTGCTTCCCGCTCTGTCTCTGGTGAATGCTCTCACCCTCCGCATCTCTGGCCTGTACCCCAGTTCTGTACAAATAAATAAATAAATCTTAAAAAAAAAAAAAAAAAACTAATAGAACAGGGGCTTCCCTGAAGGCAGAAGGGGTTAAGTCTTAGCACTACGAAGCTATGGGCAGCCAGGCAAGGTAGCTGACCTACCTTACCCAGCAGACCTCTCCTGGCCCGCCCGCTGCTCCCCTCAGCAGTGTGTTTCAGTACATCTGCCTGTTTTGCTCCCCACTCTGTCTCTGGCGAATCTTCTCACCAAGCCCCTCCTGTACCTCTAGCCAATACCCCAGCTTTTATATGCATTAAAAAAAAAACAAAACTGATAGAACATAAACCAAAATTCCCACAGTGTACTTTTAAAAGTTGATCCAGGCCCTCCCTGGTGGCACAGCGGGTTAAAGCACAGCACTAAGAAGCTAAAGCCACTTCGGCAGAAGTTCGATCCCGCCTGCCCCCCGAGGTGACCCACATGGCACGGCAGACCTCTCCTGACATGTCCGCTGCTCCCCTCAGCAGTGTACTTTGTCTGTCAGCCTATTCTGCTCCCCACTCTCTCTGGCAAATCCTTTCACTGCCCCTGCACCTCTGACCTGTACCCCAGTTCTGTATGCACAAATAAATAAATCTTTTTTAAAAAAAAAGTTTACCCCAAAACACTATCAATTTGAATTTAATTGTTAACTTACGGATCTAAAACTCTTCCAAGTTTATGTTGAAACTTTTCTTTGAAATCATCCACTCTCTTAGATACAATCTTAGCTCCTTTTTTCCTATAACATTAGAAAACTGTCAGTATCTTTATTATCTAAAGTATTCTTGGTTATCAACTATCCATTTGGTTAATTAAGAATATGCTAGCATCATTTGACCATCAAAATACAAATCTGCTTTCAAAAGAAAGTCTGTGCTAACATTCAAGGTTCATGTGTTCATTCTTCCATCTACATTCCATTATAAATTCACATATAAATTTAACATAAAACTTTAAAACAGACAAGCAGACTTAAAATTGTGGTCAGTAAACAAAACCAAAAGGTTAACAGCAATATTATAATGTGACTCTTAAAACTGCTAAAAATTAAGCATCAAATAACCAAAGGAAATAAAATGATAATTCACATCTAGTAAGCAAATATCAGGAGGAAATACAAAGGCTAGTAAATAAAAGAATAAATTTGAATATAATGAAGAGGTAACTAATGCTCACAAAATGTATGGTATACCACCTGTAGATTGTTGGTGCAAATTATTATGATCCTTTTGGAAATGATTTGGCAGTATGAACAAAAAACACATTGAAATGTTTATGCCCTTTTATCCATGTCTGAGAACCACTCATAAGGAGAGACTCCACATTAAATGAAAATATGGAAAAGTTATGTGTATAAAGATGATTGTAGCCTTAGGAACTATAGGAGGAAAAAACCTATATGTTCAGTCATGAAGATTTAATAATGTCATGTTTACACAAATGCATTCTGTATGCATTTTAAATGTTAGTTATTAAGAACACATGGCAATAGAAAATCATTTTCTGGTAAGTGAAAAAGCAGGATATAAAATGGAATTGCACTTTGATTAAAGCTATGCAAAAATCTACACAGAAAACCACAGTAGAAAGAAATGCATTAAAAAGATAATAATGGTTGAATTAAGATGACAGGATTATGGGTAATTTTATTTTGTCAATTTTCTGTAATATAATTTTGTTACTTCTATTATTGTAATTAAATGAATATGATTTCTTTTGAGAATTGTAAAATCACAACACTACTATTTAACAACATTAAAATTAATAAATTCTCCATTGTTTTGCTAAGACTAAAAACAATGAACATTAAATTCTTAAATTCCATTGTTTTAAAAAGTATTTCCTGTACTATGGAACTACGGAGCTGAGCAATTTTCTGGAGAAGAGTGACACTCTGTGGAGAAACAAAAGATGAAATATAAAGCAATTCATCTTTATTTCATACTTACTTTTCATTAGTTTAAGAAAGGAGAAAAAATAATGTGGGTCAGGGTAGAATAAATCACTATCAGTTGAAGGGTGATAATTTGAACAAAATTAACAGTTTAAAAACCAGCCCTAATGGCCATAATTAGGGACATTCAGGAATAAAAGTAAAGATTGTAAATCCTGGAACCTACTCTTTTCAGTCTTAATATCCCTGGAGTATGTTTCTGGGAGAATCAGAAAGTATATATGAATGGCCATGTATGTTGGGATATCAACAACTAAAACATCATTACACAACCTCACAGCACTCACCAACCTGTTCAAAACAAATTCTTTGTGTGGCAATAAATTCATTCACACACACAGGCACATGTACACAGCTACCATGGAAAGATTCTACCTGATTCATTAACCCAAAGGTCATAACAGAGATAATTTGAGTAAATCAAATTTACATCATGCATATAAAACTGAGATGCCTTCAAATGCTTAACTCCAGGCTTGCTATAGAAATTAGACTGAAGAGCAAAGAAGTGAGTTTTTTTTTAAATCTGATGAACCAAAGGAATAATTTCTCAACTTTTTAAGCAATAATTTCCCAATTTAATTTCAAAATACAAAGAAAAAAATCAGCAATTAAAACAATGTTCTCTGAGCATAGGCTCCTTAAGGTTAGAGACAAGTTGCAGGGAAATGTAGCCTGTATATTGTCTGCTCTTAAAGTGTATTTTTTAATTGAAATATCAGATTGACATATAAGATTTCATGAGTTTTAGTGATACTTGTTGCATTTTTGTATGACTGCCTCATATCACTGGTAATATATCCTTGTTGATGACCCTACTTTTCGAGCATTCTTGAAGACCATGTTGGTTGGTTACGTTGTTTACTTCATATATTTTATAAATTAAGGGTAGGTTTTTATTTCTAAGCCTCTAAAACTGGATAAATATTTGCCTTCTCCCTTCAAGTATCAATGTATTTATTATATTTAATTATAAATATCTATAGTCCTTAAATATTTTAACTACTTCTTTGTGGTTTCCTTTATATATGGTTGAACCTCTTCAATGATGACAAATTAATGAACATTTGTTATATGAATTCTTCTATATCCTAAAGAAAATTACCTTATATGTATTGATACTGTGAGAATTTCTCTTGTGTTTGTGGTTTACCATCATTAGTTTAAATGATCCGGGTGTCTAAAACTCATAAGAATTGAAAAAGAAATGAAAGTCACAATTGTAGCCTGTGGTCACAGAACCATGGCCCTGTATGATTCTGGTACAAGGCTGGCCCTGTATACCTGGTACAGAATCGCCTGGTATGGGGGTGGCCCTGTATAACTGGTACAGAATCCCCTGGTATAGGGGTGGCCCTGTCTATCTGGTATATGAGCGATGGGCACAAGAGCCAGCTGCCTGGGTTTCACCTCTCCCCCTACTACACATGATCTTGGACAAATGCTTTCATTTTTCTTTCCGGGCTTTCTTCATTTGTTAAATAGGAGTGATAAAAGAAAAAAATTAGCATGCCTACTTCATGTAGTTGTTTGTAGGATTAAACTAAAATTATAGGATATTCAGCGATTTGCCTCTATAACTGGGGATTGTTCCTGTCAACAGAGAAGACAACAATGGTTGAGACACTCAGGTTGGGTGCCTGTAGGAATGTAAATTTAGTGTGTACACTGGGGTCTGTGGAAACAGGGCCTCCTTTGAAAAGGGCTGAGGACAAAACAAATCCACTCCCATTATTGACAGGCAGAAATGCAGACCCAGTATATTATTAGTTTCCTGTGGTTGATGCAACAAATTACCACAAACTGGTGGTTTAAGACAACTGAAGCATATTCTCTCACAGTTCTAGAGGCCAGAAGTCTGTAATCAAGGTGTCAGTAAGGCAACATTTCCTGTTGCTTCTTCCAACATCTGTTGGCTATTGATATTCTTCAGCTTCTTTGGCTTGTGGCCACATCACTCCAATCTGTTTCTCCATCTTCACATCACCTTCTCCAGAGTAATTTCTTTCCTTCTGTCTCTAAACTCTGTGCCTTTCCCTTATAAGGACACTTGTCACTGGACTCAGAACTCACCCAGATAATTCAGCATGATCTCTTCATCTCGAGATCCTCAATTACATTTAACTCAGACCCTTCTCTCATATAAGGTCATAGACATAGGTTCTGGGAATACAACTGGACAAATCTTTTGGAATGCCATCATTCTATCTACTATACTGGTCTTTCCAAACTCTTAATTTTTTTTCCAAACTCTTAATTTTTTAAAGTTTAGTAAGAATGAAGAATTTTTATGAATAATGACCCAATATTTTAGTGTTGCCTTAGATATAAAATATTAGACAGGAGGGCCCTCCCTGGTGGTGCAGCAGGTTAAAGTGCAGCACTGTAAGCGAGCCAGCTGCTTCAGTGCGAGTTTGATCCCCACCCCAGAGGTGATCCATATGGCGTGGCAGACCTCTCCTGACCCACCTACTTACTGCTCCCCTCAGCAGTGAACTTCATCAGTCTGCCTGTTCTGTTCCCCTCTGTCTCTGGTGAATCCTCTCACTGCCCCAAGCCTCTGGCCTGCACCCCAATTCTGTATACATACATAAATAAATCTTTTTAAAAAATCTATTATACAGGAAATTAAAAACTAAGGAAACTTTTAATTTTGTAGGCAAGTAGCTATATATGGAAGGAAGGAAGGCATAGAAAGACCTGTTTGCAAAAGTTGTTAAATCAGATGAGTTAAAATAACTATTTTAAAAAGCTGAATGACAAATTATAGGCCAATTATACGCGACATGATTGTAAAGATTTGAAAGTCCATCATCTCTAAGAAATACATATGGTTCATCCCATATATTAAAAACTTTTATGTATATCTTCATAATTGCTTATAAAGGCATGAAGTGACTTTAGAATGATAAATATATAGTGATATACACATATACATAAAATGGTATAATGGTTATCTCTAGAAGGAAAGAGATTTGGATCATTTAGAAGACATATCACTGTATATAATTTTCTATTAATTTTATGTTTGAAATATGATAATACATTGTCCCTTTGAAAAATAAACTTTAAAATATACTGTAAGTCCATATGTCATATATCCAACTCTTGTCCCAGAACACGATAAAATTAAACTTACATTTGCATTTCTTGGAGCCAATGTAAAGTTTTTGCCATATTTCTTCCATCATTAAAATGTGGTGTTGGGACCCCATATAAATTAAACCTATGAAAACTTGCTGGATTATACTTTCGGTTCTTTGCTTCTCCTGGGGGTGGGAGACAGGGAGGGTAGGTTGTATAAGACTTCAAACTTAAGCAACACAATAACCTTATCTGGCAAGTAGCACATTATGTTCTCACTGACATTGAAAAGCTGAGTGGGACAAAGAATGGAATTGTAACAGTACTCTGAATTGTAGAGATTTGGCTACAGATTTGAGACTGGTACACAAGAGTGCCTTGTGTTCATATTTGGAGAGTAAGTAGAGAAATGATGTGGGAGAGAGAGATTAATGATGAAAAACAGAGATCCCCACTAATGTTACAGAAATCCCAAAGATCAGGAGAGGTAAAATAATGCTGTGAGACCCCAGAAGTTGTTTCCGCTAGACTTAGACTAGAGAAGTATTTAGTATTTGCAAGACTTTGCATGATCATTAGACCATCACAGCCTCATAATTCACTATAATCACTCATTACATATTAGAAGCATCAAATGGTGACTGAAGACAGAAAACCCAACATGGAAGTCTGTATATTTAAGATCTAGTACCGTTCTTTTTTTCCTTTCAAGTCATGATGTGATGTTAGCTTTTTATTTTTAGATAAGAAAGTAAGACTGAAACTAGAGATCAGCTAAGAGGTGAAGAAATGATAGAGAAAAAATATTTAACCCCACTAGTAACCAAATAATGTAAATCAAAATAATGAGAAATTATGCTCTATTTCTCAGCTGGGGAGGATGCAGAGAACTGGAAATTCTCAGACACTTCAGAGATGAGGGTAGACTGGGATGGCTATTAGGTTGGACAGTAGCTCTAAGGGTGATCATTTTAACTGCTCAAAAATCTAGGAATGTTCCTTAAGGAAATAGATTATATTCACAAAGGTATATAAGCACAAAGGTATATTTAGCATATTTGTAATACTGAAAAATACAATACAAATACTGATAGAAAAACAACCAAGATATTTCATACAATGGGGATATATAAGCAAACAGAAAATCTCTATAGATAGTGGGGGACAAAACACACATGTAGGTATACATATATCTTCATTTTTCCCAACTGCTAAGTGCATATGTCCTCATTGTAAGTTATATGTATGTGTGTGTATATATGTATGTGTGTGTATATATAGATATACAAAGACATACAGTTCTTTTTAAAAAAAATGAAAGGGCATGGTATTTGGTTGTGCAATAGATGTTGAACTTTTTTCAAAAAGTGAGTAAATATTTTTGTTTACGATTTATTTATGCATACAGAACTGGGGTACAGGCCAGAGGGGCAGAGGCTGTGAGAGGATTCATAGAGACAGAGTGGGGAGCAAAACAGGCAGACTGACGCAGTACACTGCTGAGGGGAGCAGCGGCTGGGACAGGAGAGGTCTGTTGTGTGAAGTGGATTACCTCCAGCGCCAGGGATGGGGCTCCCACTGAAAGGCCACTATGAGCTTGCGGTGCTGCGTGCTAACACATTGCGCCACCAGGGAGGGCCTAGTAAGATATTCTCATAAAAGAGGGAGGAAGAGGGCCCTCCCTGGTGGCGCAGCAGGTTAAAGCACAGCACAAAGAAGCTTAAGCCACTTCCGCATGAGTTCGATTCCTGCCTGTCCCGGAGGTGACCACATGGCGCAGCAGACCTCTCCTGACCCGCCCACTGCTGCTCCCCTCAGCAGTGTACTTCATTGATCTGCCTGTTCTGCTCCTCACTCTGTCTCTGGTGAATCCTCTCACCTTCCACATCTCTGGCCTGTACCCCAGTTCTGTATGAATAAATAAATCTTAAAAAAAAAAAAAAAGAGGGAGGAAGAGAAGGAGAAATAAAGTAAGAGTGGGTAGGGGTGGGTGTGCAAGAAAGAGAAGGAGCCAGCCACAGAGGTAAAAGGATGGTGCTCTGAACTATTATATTATATTAAAAAAAGAAAAAAAGACGGCGCTCTGGAGGGAAGTCAAGGTTTGGGTAGACCCAGTAGCAGCCTGAATGGGAGGGTAGAGAGGATCTCAGTTTTAGCATTTTTCATATTACAGACTGTACAGAAGCCACAGAGATTGACCACAAGAGAAGAGACTGGCAGATTCCAGACAGTGCAGCAATAGGCTTAGGAGATAAGCCCCAGAATATGTTTAGAAGGAAGAGCAGACAGGATGGTAAAAAAGAAAAAGGAAAAAAATGAAGGAAGCAAAGAGAGGAGCTCTGCTCTGCAGTAAGTGGCGAGTCTTCTAGCTAATGACGAATGAGTTCATAGGTCACACATAGTCCGGGCTTTCTCAGCATGTATTAATCTAATTCTCAATCTCTATTATATCAAGACTGACTTAACATCAACACCCAGGGCAATCAAGTTGTATTTTACATCTAATGCCTTTACTTGTGTTATAGCATAATTGTAGCAAAATGTTACTATTAGACAAGACTATTAGATAATTATTATATTATTATAATAATAGTAATAATAATAATAGCTATTGTCCCTGACACCATGCTAAGCATTTTGCTAGTCCTCACTTAAACCTCACAATATAATTATCCCAACAAGAAATTCAAGTAGATCATAACCTGGTAAGGAAATACCCAAGATTAAAAAGATAATGAATGATAAACTGGGATTTGAAACTGATCTAAAAAAAAATTGTACACTTGCCCTCTACCAATATTCCTCATATAGAAATAAACACTTAGAATAAACTTGACATTTAAAAAAGGAACAATATTTTTTGCCTGAAACCACAAAAGGTTATGCTAATATTTAACCTTAGTTATTTTTCATTTTAATGAGATATATATTCAATATGTGATAATGATATATATTTTATCATTTTGTACATAAACTGAACAAAGTGTATATGTTTCTGCAATTTATGTACAAAGTGCAAAAGTTGATATGTTCTCAGCTATCAAGGTTTATGACTTTATGAATAATAAGTTGTTATCATTTACTAATCACCCATCATGCGCCATTTAGCTTCGTGCATATTATCTATTTTATTTCTCGGCACAAATCTGAGTCCCATACCTTCAGTCCTAATGTATATTGGAGGACACCCACCTGCAAAATAATCATTGTGAGAAACAATATACAGATCATGGCCATCCTTTCCTTCTTTGAATACTTCTTCATAGGATTTTGGTGGATTCACCACATCTCCAGCAGAAATTTCTAGAGGAAGAATCATTGAAATCACCTTAATTATTTTTCATTTATTTATGACACATTTAAATTGACTAGAACAATGAGAAATGAGATATACTCATAGCATAAGCTACATGATAATCTGGGGAAAGTATCCATGTAGTTTATGCAAAAAAAAAAAAAAAGCCATAATGAAGATTTATCCTGTACTTTGAAATGTATGTGGTATTACTAACCAACGTTAAATCAAAAAAATATATTTTAAAAAGTTATCAAGAGGCTCTCCCTGATGGCACAGCGGGTTAAAGCACAGCATTAAGAGGCTAAAGCCACTTCCGCATGAGTTCAATCCCCACCTGTACCGGAGGTGACCCGCATGGCACGGCAGACCTCCCCTGAGCCACCCACTGTTCCCCTCAGCAGTGTACTTCATCAGTCGGCCTGTTATGCTCCCCAATCTGTCTCTGGTGAAGCCTCTCACCGCCCCTGCACCTCTGGCCTGTACCCTAGTTCTGATTGTCACTGTGTTGGTGACCCCCATTTGATCTGGCTTACTCAGAACTCTGGAGAATAATCAAAACTGTATGGATTGTCCTGAGTCATATTCTAAGATGGGTTAAATTTTCAATTTTCAGAATCTCTGAACAAGTTTTATTTTAATTCACTCCAGACGTCTCAAGACAATGATGTAAGCAAATTTGAATCAGAAATCCTGATGCCCTGTGGCATAGCCCTGGTGTAATTTGGAAGCTCTTGGTAGGTGGTCATACCCTCAAATCCATTTTACTAAAAGATTTATTTATTTATGCTTATAGAACTGGGGTACAGGCCAGAGATATGGTGTGTGAGAGGATTCACCAGAGACAGAGTGGGGAGCAGAACAGGCAGATGAAGTACACTGCTGAGGGGAGTAGTGGACGGGTCAGGAGAGGTCTGGCTGCACCATGTGGGTCAGCTCCCTGGCCAGGGTTCAAACTCATGCTGCAGTGGCTTCGGAGAGCTTCATAGTATGCCACCAGGGAGAACCCACCCTCAAATCCATTTTGATATGACTCTTCATCTTCAAAGTAGCCCAAGGTGCCAGGGAATCATTGTTATCTGGAAACAGGCCTCTTCCTACTAGCCCCAAACCTAGAACTACAAAATGCTTAACAGCAGCTTTTCATGACAGGTGGTCCCCAGTGTTGTGCACAGTGAATTCACTTCATTGTTTTATATAATGATTTTTAAATATAGTTCCACTTAAAATTTCATTCTTACCCTTCAATCTAGCAACACGGACTAATATATTTTCTCTTGGACTTTCTGCCAAGAATTGGGGTTAAAATAATCTTGAAAGTAATAGTTCTTTTTGATATAGGAATCATTAAACTACACATGCACGTTTTAGAACATTCTTCCTAATATATATTTAAGTGAGGTACACCTTGACAGTACTTTCCATACTAAGTAGACTAACCGGAAATACCAATTGTGATCTAATTGCTACATTGCTATGTCATACCTACATAAACAAAAATACAATCCTATTAAAATAAGACACTTTACCTGTCCTAAAACACATTTTTTTATGTTTTAATCTTTATACACGATATCATAAAGTTTAACTGAATATTATACTCCCTCCCAACCTTTTATTCTTTTTTAACTACCTCTGATGACTGCTGTCCCAAATGTGGTATTGAGTATATCCAGGCCTTTCGGTAATCCTGCCGTTTGATCATGAGATTTTCCTAATGGTGCCCATCGATTGCTAAAATATATTGATTCCTTTTTATCTTTAATTCTCTGTTGAAATGTTGTAATAGGTTGTGGGTTTATCAATACCTTTGCCTAAAAGAATCACACAAAGCACAAATTTAACAACAAAAAAAGTATACATCTAAAACCTGATACTCTAAGCAATCATTGGGGAGAAGAGAATAAGATGTGGGAAAACATTTCAGAATCTTTGCCTTGGCCTCACCTCTAAAGGAACTGTCAGAATTGGCACCGTGACCCTTCAACATGTGTAGGTATATATTTTCTTTTTGACATGCAAATTCATGTCACTGGCAAAAATGGGGTTTCAATGGAGTTAAGTGATTTAGGAGGGGAGCTCCCAAATTAAGTGACAGAAACATTCTCAGAAAGTGACAATGGAAAACACAAGAGCCAAGTGATTTCCACAAGTGATTTCTCTCCAGACACGTGGCAGGTCCTCTGAAGTTACACGGTCCATGCAATCAATAGCAGCTAGATTTGGATTCTACCTCCACTCAAAGTACATGCAAGTGCTCTGTAATGCCTCTAAGCCATGATTTCTGGGCTCTGGCCTCCCTATTCTCAAACAAAGCCTGACTGAGTTTCTCTTAACTGTGAGAAAATAAAGTGTAACTAGGCTTTTATTATCTGAGAGGAGAATATATATCTGAGGGCTGGCACCATTCCTTACACTCTCTTCACTGCAATTCTTGGGGTTTTTGTTTTTTTATTTCTCAAGGTTAAAGGGAGGAGTAAGATTGGAATTGATGGCGTCACTAACAACTTACTTGTGCATTTTCACTTTGGTTAGTGGGTAATGTTTAGGGGAGGAGAAGAAAAGTTACCGGTATTGAAACTGAAGATCTGCGTCCATGTGTCAAATAAGGTGAAACTTGAGGATCATTCGCTCTGCCATAAAATATTCTTTCTGCTCCAACAGGTGGATATCTGAAGTTGAAAAACTTTTTTGCCTCTGGTGGGGTCATTAACTACAAACGGAGAAACAAGAAAATAGAATTACTAATTATAGTATTTAATATATGGAGGTGGATCTCAGTCATATCCCAAGCCTCATTAAATTTCCAGCTCCCAATCAATGAGCACCCTTCTTTAGACCAGTGTAGCTGTACATCAGCACAGGTAGTGGGTAAGCTACATCCCCAAGTACTGTAGCTGCCTAAAATTTGCTTTAAATTGAAGTCAAATTTCAAAATTATATTTAGAAAACAAGGGCATATCCAGGATAGAAGACATACCAGAAATGACTATTTCCTATTGAAATACAAAATAAAATAAAATAAAATAAACCAGTCATTTTAGTAAAGCTAGAAATTATAAGCCTGCGATTTTCATTTTCTTGGATGAAATCAAGAGGCGGCCTTGAAATATAGTGAAGAATCCAAATCAACCATATGAAATGTATTAACAAGGAAGGTTGAGATTTGTCTTGCAATGTTCACATGCAAGGCAAAAATATAAATATAAGTGCATACTGAAAATGCTTACCCTGGGAAGTTTTTCAGTCAAGCAGTCTGCAACTCTGTACCCAACAGGAATAACTTTCCCTGCCTAGGGAAAAATAGCAATAGATCATCATTGTCAGGAGAGAGGGAAAGGATTTTGAAGAACAGAATTTATTTCAAATTCTGACTTGTGTTTCTAATGCTACAGAGTTATTTTTAAACACTTTAACACAATTCAGAAAAATAGTAGCAAATGGCAAATCTAAAGCAACCCTGACAGATAAACATTTTAAATGCTAAATATATGTTAAGTAAGTAATTTTTATAGTACTAGCCATATCGATGATCCGCCCAATTTGAAGAACTTTATTGTTGGATTAAGTAGCAAACGACTTAAGTCCCAGACTGACATCCTGAAAGAACTGACATTTTTGTAGACTCTATGCTGAAGCTATCTCAGGCACCCAGAATGATAATTCCCTGCATGACATGAATCTTTCTGAATGGGGGTCACTTGGAACTGGGGATTGACTTAAGCAGCCATGTTTGGATTTATAACTGAACAAATTCATGCTATTGCTCTCTTGCTTTTCTGACTTTGGAGATGCAGCCTGGCGACCTCGTGCAGACAGCCACCTATCACCCAGCTAGCAGCTTCCTGGGTATCCACAAGTCAGTCTTATGGGGTATCATCTCATAAGACTTGTCAGGCAAATTTATCCCTCTGCTTTCCCTCTTCTCATACCCCTGTAAATGAACCTTTTTCCCCTCCTCTCTGCAGTCTGCTTGTGGCTGTTGTCCTTATTTATGCTTGGATGAGGGACTCACACCCAGGGTTGTCCTGTCACACTATGACATGCTGAGGGATTCAACTTCCAGAACTTTATCTTGTTATGATTCACAGGTTAATTATTGATTGTCCAGTATCATTAATAAAATGGGAACTTGGCTACCTTCAAACTACATTCAAGATAAAGTATTATATATTTCAGTGTATGGGGGTTTTTCTACTAACAACCTAATTTTGGCATAAAAAATTCTCAGCTTATTCAGTGAGTGGCCCAATTTCACATGTCTATGTTCATATAACTCTAACTTGGGGCTTATATGTCCTTCCATTGTCCAAGGCAAAGATTATAATTGTTCATTCCCAGCAACATATCTCTTATTATTTCCCTTTTATCTATTTCAACACAACTGAGAGTTATTTCTCAGTTTTATTATGAACTGGGAGAATGCCCCATAATTTTCTGGATCTCTGAAAGCAGTTAGGGAAATCAGGATTAGTTAGAGAATGTGTATATGTTGGCAGGAGAATAGACAGACTAAGATAAATAGAAGGATGATTAAATGAATGTATAAATAGACAAGGAAACATTGTCTATTAGATAGGTAAGTAAAAACTTCTTACGTTAAATATTGAGAGTCAGATTCCTTTTAAGGAGAAAACCATCAAGGTTTCAGAAAGTCTTTTCTTTTTTAAAAAAAAATATTTTGTTTATTTTTATGTAGAATAACCAGGGTGCAGGCCAGAGACAGAGTGGGGGAACAGAACAGGCAGATCCACTGAAATATACTGCTGAGGGGAGCAGTGGGCTAGACAGGAGAGGTCTGCTGTGCCATGTATGTCAGCTCCCTGACTACAGGGCTATCAGAATCCCAATGGATGTTCTTGTTTCTGTTCATACAGAATTAACCTTATACAAAGACTCTCCAAGAAATCTCTTCAATTAGACTCCAGAAACCCCAAACAAGTCTAACCAGCTTATCATCTTAATAAAGACAAGATAATACATAGATTCTAGGGAAAGTACTAGAGAAAAAAAAACTTACGCTTGGCCAGCAAGGCATCCGATCAAAAAATTTCCCAGCATATATGGGTTTGGTCTGATCTGGAGGCTGCACTTCGGGTTCCGTGTTTTCAGCACTCTTTTCCTCTCCACGTTGGTGGGCAAAACGGCACTCAGCAGGTTCTATGACCAAGCCTAATTGAGGCTCTATGCTCTTCGTTTGGTCTGGCTCCTCTGAATGGGGTAGTCCAATGTCCACCTCCACAGGAGGTATCATCTCTTGGCTGGGCTTCATCACAACACAAGTAGATTCTTTTTTTGCCTCCTGTTGGGGCACCATACTCAAAGGCAGCTGCTTTCCCATAGTACCCCCTAAGCCTTCGGGGGCCCCACCCATAGTACCTCTCCCGCTCCCTAGATCTTGTGGGCTTCCACACACCATGCCCAAGGGAGACCGGATTATCCTTCCGGAACACTCATCCAGAGGACCCTCATTTTCTAACCCCATTCTTCCTGACAATATAGCCGGAAAAGGTTTTGTTTCCTGTGAGCCTGAGACCCTGTTGACGCCTAAATTACTCCTCTCCATGGGGGTCCCAGAAATGCTCTGTCCTTTCAGTCTCATTTCAGCCTCCATTTTATCCGATGGAGATTTTGTTTCTGGTGAGGCCATCCTCGCCTCACATTTATTACTAACAAAAGGGCTCTTTCCCCTTGGGGAATCTTCTTTTCCGAATTCCATGCTGAGCCCCAACTCTGTAGGAGATTTGTCCCCACGAAGACCCTCCTTTCTCCTAAGTCAGCCTTTCTTTCCTGGGTGAGTCCTACCTTCTTGCTCAGTACAGACGTCCTCTCACCTGGTTCCTTCACAGGGCACTCATTTCTATGGGAAAGGCCTTCTGTGGCTCAAGGGAAGTTCCCAATCCCTTAGGGGACCCAAATATTTTTGGGATCCCACTCTCAAGAAGGAACACATCTCATTTCGGAATAGCTGCCTAAGGTTTCCAGCCTAGCACTTAACAACTACCTGAGTTCACCCAGGGAGAGATTCTCCGGGTCTGTTTACCCGGTTACCTGAGAAACGGGGGCGTGGCTTGACTCGCAATTCTTTCTCCAAGATCACTCGCTCAGTTCTCTCTTCCAGCCTCCTTCGTCTCTCCCTCGTTCTTGTTTTCCTTCCATAACTTATTTTCGCTCTTTTTCCTCTTCTTTACTAGATTTGAAGGGCAAGGAAACGGTACAGATGCAGTCTTGGGCACTAGAGCAAATGATCTCACCAGCTACTCTTAGGTGCCCAAACCCAGGATGGGTTCAGCTTCCTGCTCGCCACTGGCAGGACTATTAATTTCATCGTTGATCAGAGAATACATAATTTTCTTTCTGGTAGTGACCACGTATTTTAGGTCCCTTCTTTTGCAAGTACATGTGCACTTCATATAGTTCTTCCGGTGCTAAAGAACTACTTTAAATTCTGTAAAGTTATTTTATTTGGACCCTGTGATACAGACATATTTTAAAGTCTTTGAGAACACTTAAATTCAGTAAATATGCTTTAAATAGCATCTAAAGTATATTAAAGCTTGAGATGTTACACAATAATGCATATTGGGTTTTTTAAATACCGTAGACTAAGAAACTAATTTTTAAACATAGGATTTCATTAAGATTGGGCTACTTTGCTGTCAGATTTAATGAAAGTAGAGTTGTTGAATTATTTGTCATGTTCTACACATATTAGGGATACAGAGAACACGCACCTTAGAATTTGAGTAGAATATATAGGACTCCAGTATTTTTAAGAACTCCATAGAAAACTTGTAAAAGCAAAATTGTTTAAAACATGACTAGGGATTTTACACTTGCAAAAAACATTCACCAAAACTTCCTAGATGATTAATATAAATATTCCAAAAAGACTTTTATAAATATATGTTATATATGTGTGTGTGTGTGTGTGTGTGTGTATCCTTCACCCCTATGCATTTTAAATAAATTGGTAGTATAAATCAACATGTTACTATAAGGGTTCACCCAATTCTTTCAACTTACAAATATCTCTTGAATACATATTTTGTGTAAGTCCTGGGAATATAAGTCAATCCTTTTCTTGTGGAATTTATATTCTAGTAGGTGTGATCATTAGTCAATAAGTAAGATCGTTTGGAATAATGCTAAGTGTTATAAAGAAACAGAAAGCTTTTTAAAATTATTTTTATTATAATACTTTATTTTTACATCAGTTTGTACCTTTTTCCATCTCAGTTGTAAACCCCCATGGACTTCCCACTACCAAAATGTCTCTGGCATGTAGTTGTACATTATTATTATTTTCCCCTCTGGTCCTTTATGGTCCTGCTATGAGTGAAACCATCCGGTATTTTTCTTTTTCTGGAAAAAGATTTTTTTTAAGATTTATTTATGCATACAAGAACTGGGGTACAGGTAGAGGTGTGGGGTTGAGAGGATTCACCAGATACAGGCTGGGGAACAGAACAGGTAGATCTACTGAAATACACTGCTAAGGGGAGCAGTGGGAAAGTCAAGAGAGCTCTGCAGCGCCATGTGGTTCACTTCCTTGGTCGGGGATTGAACTCGTGCTACACTGCCTGCTGATAGTTTCACAGTGCTGTACTTTAATCCATCGGGCCACCAGGGAGGGCCCAAGAAACAGCAAGCTTTGATGTGGAGGGAAGCTGGTTTAGAATTGGTGGAAGTTGACTTAGGCAGGAGTCATTGGAGCTGAGGTTTGAATGATACTCTGCAAAGACAAATGATTTTAATAGCTGGATGGCACTGAGACTTTACTCCTGCACCACCAGAAGGCACATGCAAAGACAAAAGCTTTTAAAACATGACTGGATCAAGTTGCCACAGACTTTGAGTTCATTGCCTTGCCAGTTCAAAATAAATATTACCATTCATTAACAGCTGCGCAAAGATTACTTTTCAACCATACCAGGGAGAAAAAATTTCCTGGAAGAAAAGGTAGACAATATAGTGAGCTGTATATGATTGAGAGATATAAGGTAAGGGGATTCATGAGTTCGGTAGAGATTTGAGGGAAAGGCAAGCATTAAGGACGGTATTCAAGACTCCGTGACTTTATTTAGAATCCAGTTGTAGATGCCTTGACACAGTCTATGAACTATTAGTAACCCATGTTTGACACTAAATATATTATTATTATTCCTTCTCAGTTATCTGGGCCTAGAGGGAAAAAAAGATAGTGAGCCAAGTTTTACTGTGGCATTTCAATCAAAAATACCACTGGATCTAAGAAGTGTTAGCCATGGGAGTAGGAAACTCCCAGGCAAATATGACTAAGCCACAAAATATTGTCAAATGTATTCATGAAGGAGATGCATCTAAAACCAAAATTGGTCAAAAGAAATGAATGAGGAAGATCCTAAGATGATGAAATTGGATGTTCTTGGCAGTATATACAAGTATTCCTAAGTTATGAAATCTTAAGTCAAATGTTCACATTCCTAAATGTAAGTTCACTCATATTTTGGAGGTCTCTATTATATCCATCAAAGTTCCAAAAGAATAGAGATGATGTGGACCTCTATGGCCTAGGAGTTAAGTCTCAGCACTGTTACCACCATGGACTGAGTTGGATCTCTGGACACTGCGCTGACCCACATGGCACAGCAGACCTCTTCTGTCTCACCCACTCCTCTCTTAGCAGTGTATTCAGTAAATCTGCCTGTTCTGCTCCCCACTCTGACTCTGGTGAATGCTCTAACCAGTGACCCCTCCCTCTGGCCTACACCCCAGTTCTTCTACACAAATTTTTTTTAATTAAAATGGTGAATAAATTATAGTGAAGGTCCTTAAAAACTTGTAATGTCTAATGGGAATACACGTCCATGGAGAAACGTCTAGGCACTGCCCATAAAATGAGGTTTATTTGTAGTCTCCCTTGTAGAGTTTCGCTTTCAGCAGTTTCAATAGCCTGTGGTCAACCCTAGTCTGAAAATAGTATCAGTTAAATATTTTTAGAGAAAGAATATTCACAGAACTTTTGTTAAGGTGCATTATGATGGTCGTTCTAGGCTATTAATTGTTGCTAGTTACTAAATGTGTCTAATTTATAAATTAAGCTGTTATCATTGGTGTGTACATACAGGAAAAAAATATAGTGGTGTGGTACTATCTGTGGTTTTAGGCATCCATGGGAAGTGTTCAACATGTCCACGGCGTATTAAACCCACTACAGGAGTACAGTTCTGTGAAACTACAGAAAACAGGTAAATTCAGTAGTATTAGTCTCAGAGGCTATAAGACTATCACTGAAGGAGAGACTTGCAGTGATAGGTGGCGAGATAATGGTGTTCCAAGTGGAAAGAACAAGATCAAAATGCAAAAATGTGACCACACAGGAATCATCAGAGAATACAAAGACTGGCATAGTTAGGGTACAGAGCAAGAATCTGGCAAAAGGGAAGCAACAGAAATAGAATAAATCAAACCTGGACTGGTACTAGAATCGCTGGACCTAGGATCTGATTTAGCAAGTAGAGGAATACCATCCAACGTTGTCCAGCAGAATAACTGGCTAACCTCTTAATCATAGATTGAAACGGCAGGCATGTGCATTAATTCCAGTTTGTAGGAATATTATCATGGCCGAAACATTGGAATTATGGCTCAGATTTAGGAGTTGGAGAATTTTTGATGGAATGGACAGTGGAGGAGGTGAAGGTGATTTTGCAGTTTTAAGTCCAGATGACTGCGAGGCTGTTAATACCTGTCACCAAGCAAAAGCAAGTTGGGAATGAGACAGGTTTGGTTTTGGACATACTACTGACATGCCTAAACTGACGTGACATATCCTATTTCCCGATTCTTCCAGGGATTGTCCAAGAAGTATTACCATGACTAATGTCATATTGGAACTATCCCTCGGTGATAAAGTGCCAGAGATACTATTTACATATGATAATCATGTTCTTCTGGTTAGTAACTGAGGAGTTGATCTGAAAGACTGGCTCTTCAAGGGTTCAAATCATCTTCATTGCATAATGTTAAATGAGCACTAACAGGAGACCTCACCCAAGTACACCTCAAAGACAATCAATATTGATGCCCTCAAAACAGGGCTATAAATGGTAAACTGCAAACTGAAAAGTAGTCCTGATCCTGAGGGAAAATCCATTTAGAATTCTATCAAGTTACAAGAGGAATCTTGGTTTCTTTTTCTTTCAGATGCCTGGACAGAGAGACTACCTTGTAAGTTTTAACCAAAGTTACGTCTTAAATGTTGGTCTGCAGAGGAGGGTAATGTTTGGAGCTTCGCTTGAGGAGCCAGCCTGCAAGTGAAGAGTCAATTTCGTCAAGTCAGTAGTGATGTTGGACAAGTTACTCAATTTCTGCGCCTCAGATTCTTTCCCTGCAAACAGACACGCCTCATCCATTCATTCCACAACTATGACTTAAGATTTGCTTCAGGCACGGTGCTAGACAGGGGTGAGAACCACTCGGTGGAGTTAACTAATGTTTCAGAGTGACACTCTCAGTACAAAATTAAAATCATATAATCCCTGCAAAGCATTCAGTACAGTAATGAGCAGAGGGAAATTTTCAGTAAAAGCTATTATTTTAAGATTTGCCCCTCTCCACCAAACCAGGTAAGCTCTCATCAAAAGTAAGCTTTTTAAGATTTCGCCGCTTACAGACAACTTTGGGGCTAATGAGGGTATCACCGCGTCTTTGGAGCAAATAGCCTTTAGTCACCCCCCCCGGCCCCCCCGTCCCCGGTGTCAAGTCGAGGATCTGGAGCTGGAAAGTCCTCTTTAAAAAGCCCTTTACCGAGTTGCCAGAAAAAGGGGTGGAACCGGGTAGGGACAGGGGGACTGTGAGAAACTACTCCCAGAGGAAGCTTCGCCGCACCACAAAGGCTGACAGCAACAAACCCAGGGCTTTCTGGCTGCCCGAAGGCAGGGCGGCCCCGGAGCTGCCCCAGCTCCAGCA